CCCTCAGAACCACCAGGCTGGGAATTTGGATTCATGGTTCCTCCATCTGCCAAAGGAAAGAGAGTGAAGCCAGCAGTGGTGGGGGGGAAGTTATATCCATTCATTCTATGTTATTCTAAGAAATTAATGGATACTTTACCAGACTGCTGGTTTGTTTTTTAGTTGCCCATCCCAGGCTCTGCGGAACAACTGGATCAGAAATCATACTAAAAAATACCGCCCCCCCCGCTAATGTTACCATTTAAACACTTTGTTCTAGGCTACCCTTTGAAAAGACCAAATCTGAGCTGTGACACAGAAGAAGACATTGACAGCTGATGCTAACGCTACTTTGCCAATTCCTGACATTCTGTCGCTAGCAGCAGAATTCTATCGAATTCCACCAGCATGATTGAAATTGTTCAGAGCTACAAAATGATATGAATATGGATATACAATTGCTGAATACTCAGGGACAGATGCTCAAAAGCTTTTGTTTATCTTTTCACCCATTACCACATGGAATGATCCTGAACTTAGCCTCTTCTAACAGCCTGTAATAAACAGGCATGCCAAGATGATTTTACTGGAGAGACTTTTGTGGACATAGTGAAATGCAACCTTCCAGGTTACACAGAAACTCTCCTGCCTGATGCAGAATTCTGTGTAATTCAAAGGCTTAACACCTTCTGAAAGCAGCAAAAACTAATGCAATTATGCCCATTCATTTTGGGATTCTGAGTTCACAATAGCCAACTTTACTCCTTTATATATATATATTTTAAATGTAAAAACAAAGAAAATAAAAATAAAAATCCTTACCTAGCGAGAGTAGAGTCCCAAAATTGTCCTGCACAATGTCCCTGTAGACAGGTCTCTGGCATGGGTCCAGAAGGGCCCATTGTATCTCAGCAAAATACATCAGTCACTTCTGCAGAAGGCTCTGGCCTCTGAAAGAATAAGTTTTCCCTGCTCAGAATCCAAAACCAACCCTGTTGGCCTATAATGAGACTGGGCTTTAGGTCACAGCACTAACAACCCTGATTTCACACAAGTTGGCCTTTGGTTTCGCTGCCCAATAAAGTGAAGAATGTGCGGCCTTCCGCTAGTTACTGGACTCCAACTCCAGTTGGCCCCAGTCAGTGTTGCTGATGGTTGGGGATGCTGGGAATTGTAGTCCGTGCCAATCCTACAGCAGTTCTACTGCCCCTGTCTTGCTGCACCTCCTGTCTTCCTGTTAAGGCTTGTGCTCCCTTCAGGATGTCTGGAAATTCAACAGGTGAAGCGCTTCCTGGCCCTGGAAGAGCTGCAAGGGGGAAAGCTTCCCCAGCTGAACTTCTGCAGGGCATGTCAGCTGTAGTAACACCCCAGCCTTTCCAGGGAGAAGGAGGGTGTAGAGAGGGTGGCAACCTACCCCTATTGAGCCTCCACCCTTAAGATCTGCCATTCTCACGTCCTGGAAGCTTTGTTGCTGTTGCTGCTTCTCCCTCCTATCCAAGGTCTCTTGTTCATGCGTCTAGGGATCCCCCGGGTTTTCACACCGTAAGGAAGGGGGGACTCGACTGTTGTTTGAAAGAGGCGCTGAAGAAAGTGCCATGCGTTGGCTCCTCTCGTTTGTGATAGGTTTCCCCCCCTCCTCCTCCTCCTCCTCCCTCCCTCACCGAGGAAGTTGCCTGGCTGGACTTTGGCCAGTGCCCACTCCCAGTCAGCTCGAGTTACCTGGAAGCCTCTGGCTTCAGATCTCGGTCCTCGAGCTGCAGACCTGAGGATCTCGCCTATCAAAGGAAGAATAAATAAAGCCGGGACTCCGCGCTCCCCGATTTGGCGGTAGCCCAGCGGCTCGGCTGGCGCTCGGGCTGGGTCGACTCCGGGCGGCTGCTACGAAGGCAGAAGAAGAAACGGCAACAACGGCACTCGCTCTCTCTGGTTCTGACCTGGGAAGTTCAGCCCCCAAAATCGTCAGCGGCAACGGGAGCAGGAGCAGGAGCAGAAGCGGCGGCGGCGGCGGCAGCCAAAGAAAAGGAGAACAGCCGCTTCGCTGGCTTGCTCTCTTTTTTGACAATGGCCAGAGCCCTCTAGCGGCATCGCCTCTGCCTTGCACGCGGAACAAGCCCGGAGGGGGCTGGCGAAAGCCGGCCGGAAGCCTCCCGCCCAGGCTCGGGGCCCCGAGGGAGAAAGGTGGGCCGTGGCGCTGGTTCGGAGCCCGGGAAGGTGGCGGGTGAAATCCCGTGGGAAGGCTTGGGGCAAGCTCTCTGCGGCTGCTGTCGCTGGGTTTGCCCACTGCGTGTCTGTGCGTGTCGTGGTTTGCTCCATGAGCCCCATTTGGTGGCGACGGTACGCTAGAATATAAACCTTGGTTCGCCCAGCGTGGTGCCTGGGTTCGCGCATTAACCGAGGCGAGATGTGAAGCGGCTGCGTTCTGGGGGAGCCTTACGAGGGAAGCCAGCCATTGGCTGCATCGGCAGAACACGGTCCGCGAACACGCTCGGTTAGCCAACGGGGATGGGCTGCAGATTCACCTATACTTTAACCAAGTTTTGAGGGCTGTGGTGTCAGTCCCGCTCAAACCACTCAGCTCTTGGGGTTCCAGGAGCCATTTTGTATTTGGGTGCTACAGCAACAAAGGTTGGTCAAAATGCAGGCACGATAAGAATAAGATGGCAATGTGCTTGCATTTGTTAGCTAAGTTCTTTGGTACTTCCAGAAAAGGCCGTAACTGCGCCATCACCCTCTTTTATTCATTACATTCAGGCAACATCCCCTTTTTCCATTTCCACTTCCAATTATTTATTTAATCATTTTTTCCCCCAGAAGAAAATCTATTCAGGAAGATAACGTGGGGTGAAGGTTTCCTCCAACATTTCCTAATTCTCACACTGCTGTGGATTTTAAAGTAATATTTTGCTGGCAGATGAAATGCAGTGATAGTATTCCAGTCTCCTTTCTACATCCTGGGAACTCATCCTAGATCACTGTTTTTCAGTCTCAGCAACTTTAAGATGTATGGACTTCATCTCCCAGAATTCCCTAGCCAATCAGTGAGGAATTCTGGGAATTGAAGGCAATGGTTGGCTGGGGAATTCTGGGAGATGAAGTCTGTACATCTTAAAGTTGCTGAGATTGAGAAACACCGTTCTAGTCATATGCAGCTTGCACATGAAGGTAAGGGAATTGACTGGGACAAGAGATGGCTGGTTTTGTTATTTAAATACAGTCATTGACAGAAAAAAGGTTATCCTTCTCTTCCTAACAGTGACCTTCCTGGATGTCCTGACATGCACCGCATGAAGGCAATAGCCCACTTGGTTGTTGTCAGAGCAGCTGATACAGAGAGAACTGCTGACATGTACATAGTGAAGCGTTGGGTCCTGGATTCAAATCTTACTCATGTCTGTTGTTCAGCACATAACCTGGTGCCTTAAACTATGCATCTTACTCTACCTTACCTACTGTGCACACAAAATGGAAGGGGTGAGGGGGAGAGAGAACCATGTTTTCAACCTGAGCTTCTGGAAGGCAGCAAATATTTTAGAAAGGGGGGCAACTTTGTTTTCTATGGCTTTTTTGGGAATCTACTGGGGCAATGTGGGAAGGCCCTAAGATGACATGAGAAGGAACAGAGCCAAAAGCAGATGAGGATACCCATTTTGATACATTTTCCCCATTTCTCCCACCCTGTTTTTTCTTGCTTTCTAACATCCTGCCCTGTAATGGCATATTTCATTACAAAATAATCTTGATGGAATATTAGCGGGGAAGCCTTGCTGTAGCAACATCTCATGAACATCTTATCCATTGCATTTGTGGCACTCTGATATATTTTATTACTATGAGACAAATCTATCACTCTACTGATTTTAATTATAGCTCTTTGTTTGGGTCCTTTTTTAGTTGCACTGTCCTCAGCTGTTTTATTGGACTTGCAATTTAAAATTGTTTAAATGGCTTATTGCCCAGAGAACTTTGGCTGTGGGGAGTTTTTAATAAATGTTATAAAGTTAAAAATACAAACTGACTTTTTTAGGACCCAAGTTCATCCATGTCAGGATCTCTTCAGTGCCAGCTCCATGTACCACATCCAAAACATGGAGAAATTCTACATTAGCTCTAGAATATACACGTTTGACTTTCTTATCAACCCACCTATGGAGAAGGAATGCTGCGTTTTATACTTCTTTAAAATATTCTAGAAGTGTCCTCAGTTCCCGTGAAAATAGAGATGCAGCCATCACAGATGGATTAGGCTTTAAAAAAAGGCATTTCGGAACCTCTCTCAAAAAGTATTTATTTCATACAGAGAAAAGACAGATACTGTTATAATAGGAAAACAGAGAACGATACCAAGGGCAATACCAGGAAAACTAAGGTGTTGGGGAACCCAGACATCAGTTTTGCTATATTGCAACACCATTTACAATTGCTGTTAAATCATATCCATTGGCATTATTACAAATAAGAAAATACAAACAAGTCCAAACAATCCGCCAGATAAATTCCAGCCTAATCCCGCCTCAAAGCAATATACAAGCAAAACAAAATCACTTACCCTCTAGCCTCCCCCAAACCCTAGAGAGCTAAAAATGGATTTATAATGTTAAAGAGAGTCAGAGAGAGTGCCTTCAGGTAGCCTTTCCTAGTTTGGTGCTCTCCAGCCTCTAACTGAACTGGTACCAGCTTGGGGAAGTGAAACAAGTTCCGGGTTGGTTCCATATTGAGGAGGGGAAAGAGATGTCCCTCCAACAAGTGATCTCTCCCCATTGCTGAAACCTTATGTGAAATGAAACACATTTTCCATGGCTGTTCCTTTGTCCAAAGAAAAACCCAGCCAAACCCCATTTGCCAGACAGCACCAAAAGCTATAATGAAATCATAAGCTGGCAGCTGAAAGAAAGCCACAGTTTTAAAACATGCTTGCTTGAAAGCCAATGTTATCAAAATTTAACCAGGTTTGAGAGAAATTATATTTAGGATGGAGCAATCATGAGAAACACAGGGTGGTTTATTAACAACGGGTTATTCAAAATGTACCATAATTGGGTGTGTTCACAGCTGTCAAACCATACATTATGAACAAAACTTCTTTTCCCAGCCCAAGATGCTCTCCCAAGCCTAAAATGTGCCAAAATGGCCTTTGCCCTAGGACTTCAGCTTTTCCTGTAATATATCCTCACCGAATAGCATGAGTTCAAGAGAATTACTACTGTGGGAAAGGAATCAGTAAAGTGAAAGAACGGATAAATATGAGCTAAAGATAACAGCGTATCAGCCCATGACCCATGAAATCTGCCTAGAGCAGAATATTGAGATGGTTGGGGAGAGGGCAGAATGGACAGAAAATGCAGATGGATGTTTGCCATTTCAAAAGCACATACACACAAGTGGAAAAACAAAATATCTAACAGAGGTGGGATAACAGTTCTTTCCTGCTGGGCTTTTTTAAAATGCATAAAGGCTTGCATAGGCACATGCTTTAAAAAAAAAAATGGAATATTCACAACTAGATTGTACTACGCACAGTCTGAATCAATGTAGTCCATTCCATGACCCTACTCCAGTGTTTCTCACCCTTAGCTACTTTAAGATGCGTGGACTTCAACTCCCAGGATTCCCCAGCCAGCATGCCTTACTCTATTGCATCCATAGAGCAGGCCTTAAATGCATCTCAGTGCAGATTTCCACAAGCCGCAGAGAGGAAGAGATTAGCTGTGTCTCTATTTTAGTGTTGGTCTTGTGACTGCTCCTCCTGCAGTACAAGGGCTTATATTTTCCCACAGAATAAAACTCTGTTCACTGCAGCAAAGATGCCCAGTAACTCGCAAATAAGCAGTTACAAGGACCGGTGTAGACATATGGTGCTCTTAGCAACTATTTCATCTTGTATGAGGAGACCACAGCCCCATTCCACTGGCCTTCTAGAAATCTTAGACTTTCAACTCTTTTCACCCCTTTCAGGCAAAATGGCTGATAACTATGCTGGTTGGGGATATATACTCCAAAATACCAAAAAGGCACCAGGATGGAGAAAGCTGAAGTATGGTATACATAATGCTTTAAAGCTGCAACAGTGAAGTGTCTTGATTTATATTGGAGTGGTAGGTACAGTCATGCAAGCCTATGGTTTCTTTTAAACATGGTAAGCTGAATATGCCAAAATGGCTGGGTACACGTATAACACTCAGCAACAAACCACAAGTTGCAAAGCACAGTTAATTACATTAAGCCAAAAACTAATCACATTCTGGCTTTCTGCTATATAAATCCAACCAAGTATGTAGCAAAGCATTAATGAAATGCAGTTAGTTAATTGGAGCATTCATTCATTGAGTCTTCAATAACTTGAGGTCCTTAGTCACATTGGGTTTCCAGTAATTTAAGCAAATATTCCTGCCCATCACATTAACAGAGACCATTTTTAGATGTCAAGGTCTGCATTTGGAACCACTTGCACCTTAAATATCTGAGTTATGGTATAACTGAAGTTCTCAAGAACATACAGAATGTTCATATGGAAATGACCATATTTCAGTGGAAAGGTCTAAGAAAAAGCAGGCAGGCATCGGATCAATTAGTTGAGGCCCTGCATATAAAGAACTACAGAAATGATAACTTCCAGAGGGGTAGCCAAATTAGCATTAGAACAAAAACAACCAAAAGCCTTGTAGCATCTTAAACCTTTATGCAATATTTATTATGGAAGAAATGTTAATGAAGCAATAGATCAAGTCCATGAAAGTGCATGCCTTAAGACAAATCAGCCTTGAATTTGCCCCTCAAAATGCTGCATTTTTTAAAATGAAGGGGTTATATTTGACATATAAATGTTCTCAGTATAATAAATATGGAAGCCAGAAATAATTATCCTTGCTGCATAAAGTAAAAAATTAAGCCTGCAGCTGCTTCCATTAAGAAAAAAAATTGTTAAAACTGAAGTATGTATTCCTAGTCCTCATTTAGTGACCACAATTTGCAAAACAGTTGCTAAGTGAAACGACTATGCTTATAAACTTATTTCAGCTTTCCTTTGCTTTACAGCCCTGTGAAGGTCGTAAATGTGAGGACTGGTCATAAAGTTACTTTTTCATCACTGTCATAACTGTGAACAGTCACTAAACAAGGCAGTTGCTAAGTGAGGACTCCTATAATGTTTGGAGGCCTAAAGGCTGCCCTTGGTATTTAAATGGCTTATGGTGATCTGGCTCCCAAAAGTAAAAAGGGCCAGGACAAAACTAACTTTGATTAAGTAACTTAATATGAATATTGCTTCACATTTCTCCCTTCAATCACATTACAAATTTTAGTTTGGTGGCAATATTTAGAGAAGCTCTTAAACTTCAGGGACTACAGGAAGCCTCACAGCTATAGATGGTGGACAGAAAATCACCCCAATCCAGCTGCACATCTTGTTATCATTCTTCTAGGAAACATTTAGCTGTATTACTCTAAAGACAGAGCTAAAAAGAGCTTTCTCACAAGAAACACTCTGAAATGGGGAGAGGAAGGACTGGGATGTTGCTTATAGGCAATAATCTCCACAAAATAAGAAAAAGTGCTTCATAGGAACATGTTGTGTCCCAATGGTCTTTTTCAGAATGAGTTTGCCCAAATATCTGCAAAGGTTTTGTCTATGCTACCAGAATTCCTTGCATGACTTTGCCTGCTTATATGAAACACACATGGAATAAAACACTTAACAAACCTGGAGGGGAGCTGTACAGGCCCAGAATGCCTTGCACAGTTTTCTCCTTTTTAAGAAGTCTATAATAAATATGTGTTTTCTAGGAAGATCGTATATATCTTTTAACAATTTAAAAAGAAAAGAACATGGGGAAGGGACTGTGCGTTGCTATCACCCTAACAGATACACATTTCTTTTAAAGAAACTAGTTAGCACGCTAAGTACTAAAAAGTAACAAAAACTAAGGGGAAAAAAACCTGTCCCAAATTTGAAGATGGTAGAAGGGTTATTTTATAAAGGACAACCTTCTAATTAAAAAGGAGCCACAGGGGCAGTTCTGCACTGCAGGAGGCCAGGAACTTGAACTACAGAATACAACTATTCTAAAAAAAACTCCTGCCAGCGCCTTAGACCATACTGAGTTGAGTGATACTGGAAACTGCAGTTCAGAAACACTGGAAAACCAGACTCCCTCCTCCTCTCTATTCAGAAGTCCAGTTTAATCACAAACAAGCATCCAGAAGGAACAGCAACAGGGGCATGAAGGCTGCGACTGAATTTTCCCAGCGCAACATCCTGAGTCACCTAGTCATTGATTGCATTCACACATTGTGCTCAGCCATGGCTTGTTTACCCATATTTTATTGAATAGATCACAATTGGCTATGCATAATACATCAATACAAACCAGGATCTGCAAACTAAATTTGGCTGAATATGCTAAACTGAAACTAAGCAAATTGTGAAAGCCAGAAGGACCAAGGTCAGATGTCAAGAGCCCAAGACCAGGCAGGACCGTAACAATAATGAACAGATGTCTCCCATCCCTCCCACTGAGATGCAACCTGTTCTCAAGGCGCATGTACAGTTTGAACTTCAGGACTGCTACATATACAAATACATATGGCTTGTAGCATACAGCTGGCAGTTGCTGCTTGTCTGCTCTATTATTGCCTTTTTAATATCTGTAATAAAACCGCTTTATCAAATAGCTGTCTCCTTGAATCTCTAGCTGCTAGCTTTCAAGCTGGAGGAACTCTTGGGTGAAGCTTGATCTAAACATGATTTAGTGCAATGGATGAAACAAGTCAGCTTTCCCCAACACCTGCCATTTCACTGAAAATCTACTGCATTCTGACTGAATTTTTATTATCCATGTCCATGTCTTTCCTTTTGATGATGCATTCTTTTTTCCTGGCAATGTATAAGCCAGCTATTCTAGCCAAGAATCATAACCATTAATGGCCACTAGCCCGAGCTGCCCCACAGAATTAGAATAATGAGGATAGTGGGAAGGACTCCATCTCCCTTATTAACTTGAAAGCAAACATTTGTAAGGGAAAACCTACTCTATATTCACCTTGCAAATCCAAATAAAACTTCGACTGAAGAACAGCCCTGACTGGTCTGCGTACCTCTATTGCAATACGGATGCTAGCTGGTAGGGATTAATCTTTGCTGTTTTTTTCAGATCCTGCTGGAAGGCAGCATAAACACTTGTCTACAAATATAAAAGAAAAAAAAAGCATGTATCCCTAAAAATGACAATTTTACAACATCGTCACATATTATGAAAAAAACCCCACATCTATATAGAGCCTTTTTTAAAACGTCACTTTTGGTTTGTAATTTATCTTCTATATATTTTATATGAACAAAGTCACTGACCAGATAAATCTGAGCGCTGCATTAATGCAACATTGCTGAACCAGGTCAATTGGCTTGATTATTTTTCAAAAATAATTTAATGTGTTGTGTGAACCCAGCCTATTGGGTTATTTTATCATTTAACATATCATACACATCCAGAAAATGGGTTATAATTCAGTAACTAGTCTAGGTATGTTATGCAAATGCAACTAATGGGTAGAATGTCACACATGTCAGTGTTTTGCAACACTACCAAAAATTTGGAAGCACTGAAGGAAAACAAAGTTGTTTCTTTTCTTTCCAGATAAAAATTGGAAAAGTTGGGAAAACCTGAAATCCATGCAATATAAGATTTTCTTATATATTTTGTTTGTTTAAAACCACACATTAAAAGCATCATTTAAAGCTATACACATGGAATTGTACTGTTTGGCTTACTTATGAAATTTACTGAGAAATTTTAAGCATATGTACTCAGAAACAAAATCCCTATTTCATGGAGTTTGTTCCCCAGTAAGAGTTCACAGGACAGCAGCCTTGAAACCTTTTAATTTCTTATTTTTGCACAAAATGTCTTAACTCACATGCAAAGGGACCAATTCATAAGGTCAACAGATGTAGAATATTTGTTTCTGAGTATTTCCAAATCAAAACCACTGAATACCAGCAAATAATTCACCACAATTCATAGCTAAAAAGGCCTGAATTCTACAAAAAGAAGGCAGCACTCGAAGTACAGAAATGCATTTGGATAACAACAGCTCTCCAGATGTTTTGGCTATCAGTTCCCATCAGCCCTGCCAACCTGGCAATAATATCTGGAGGTACTAGTTTGCCTATCCTGGTCTATTATATACATAGGAATGATCACCCTCTAATTTTGTGCATTCTTTTACATAAAAATATTCATACTACACACTCTGAATAAATCTTCTATTTCACTCATGTCGAAAGAGAAAATATTTTATAACCCTGTTTTCTCACCCATATTCCTCAATCATTTTCTATTTTTATCTTGGGAAAAAAACTCATCAAACGACCAACTCAACCCATTCCTTTCTGTTGTTTCTCCCCTCCAGCCCCCTCATTTGTACTTTTAATTTCAATTGACATCAGTTGGCCCCTGGCTGATTGTTTTCTCTGGATTGCACCCCTATTATTTGGAATAATACTGTTTTCTGTTTCTCCAACATCTGGCATTCATACTACTATGAACAGCAAAAGCATAGTATACAGATAAAAAAATGTTTAAAGGAGACAGATTAATAAAGCACCAGATCAATAATGCCTTCCTTTTTTCTTTCGAACATCTCCCCAATGCCAGCCAAATCCGAACACTCCTATCTCTTTCTCCTTTTGGGATCACACAACTGAATTGCACAATAAGAAAGATTAATCAAATCCTTCCTGAGACAGATAATGTATCTTTTATGCCATGGGGCTCTTTTACTCTCTGACACCATGGCTGCTTTCTGCCTTCAAAGAGATGAGCACGGCACTGATTTCCTTCTTTATAGGTGCATTTTCACTTATGCTTAGGAACAGCATGACAGTACAGGTAGTCCTCGCTTAATGACTATCCTGTTTAGTGACCATTCGAAGTTATGACGGCACTGAAGAAGTAATTTTACAACCAGTCCTTGCACTAACAACCATCAGTGTCCACACAGTCACGTGATCGAGATTCAGGTGCTTTGCAACTGTTGGGTATTTACAACCGTTGGAGTGTCCCATGTCATGTGATCACCATTTATGCGCTTCATAGCCAAAATTGCAAGTCGCAGTCACATGACCTTGCTTAACGACTGCATCACTTAGCAACAGACTTGCCTGTCCTAATTGTGGTCGTTAAGTGAGGATTATCTGTATTTCTCTTCTGTGCCATCAACATACTAAATTATTAACAACAGGTTTTAGCAGAAATCTTTTACTGCTAAAGCTGCTATTTAAAATGGTGTGTGAGTATGTATGTATGTATATATACACACACACACACACACACCCCTATAATCTGGGGGACATCTCTCTAGAGGATATCAGTTAAAAGTTCTTCTGGTTCAGCTATCCCTCCAGATGTGCTGGAACTTCTAGCCTGTATAGTCTTTGCAGGCTGAAGGATTACAGAGGTGCAATCCAACGTGTCTGAAGTGTATCTGACTAGGAAGGGGATTTTAGCCCCACTGAAAGCCATGGGATTTGAGACAGTTGTGACAAACTTGCCCGAATGATTTCAAGGTGGTAAAGCATAAAGTGGACACAGCTGGATCTTGACACATAGTTTTTATGTGGGTTTGGACTCTTCTATGCTGATCTAGAATAGAGAAAATGGAAGAGGATAAAAAGTCTGGGTCAGTTCTCTAGGATCAGAGGTTGAATATGTGTAGTAACTTTATACTTCACTGAAAAGCTGCTCAATGTTCAGCAGGAGACAATGGCTGGCCTCACAGACTGCACTAAGCCGTGGTTTAACCATGGTTTACTGAATGACACCTGACCAGATTTGCACATATTACGCTATAAACCATAGTTTACAAATCACAATGGTTGGGCTCATGCAACATCTTTATCCCCCCAAATAAACAAAAGAGCTATAATGACTTACTGCAATATGTGAATCCAGGCATATTACAGTAGCTTAATTAGGAGCTATAAACAAACAAAAAATAATTTCAATCCCAGTTGGAAAAAATTATGGTTGACGTTTACTGGAGCAAGATTGAAAATTCTTGATTTGTGCTCTTCAAACTGACCAACCTCAACTTTAGCAGAAGAAACTGACCCCCCAAATGCAAGAGAAAATCCTTTCATGTCTTAGGCTAAAGTAGGTGTATTCCCACTCAAAAAGACAAAATCTGTACTCAGGGAATGAACTCCCCAAGGCTGCCATGGCCGTTTAGGATAAGGGAGGATATCTCAAGAACAGTTCAGCAACTGCTGCCTCCTGGGAATGCTAAAAATCAGCCAACGATCACACATTTTTACAGCACAGAATACTGCACAAATGAAGTAGAGTTTGTGGGTTCAGCATTTCTACAGCGTTCTATCAACTTGAGAGAAAGAAAAACAAATGTCCAGTTTAATGCAGCTTTCAATTCATAGAAAGCCAGAGAAAACTCTTATTGCCACTTGCTCTTTAAATTCTGGTATAAAGAGCTGGTGTATTACAGGCAATGTACATGGAAATTGAAGTTGAAAATATGAGATTATGCAAGAGCACAGAGGAATGGCATTTAGAGAGATAATTCTTGATATTCTTTTCAAAAACTTATTTTTTTTTAATGCTGGACCAAGATGATCATCAAAGTAGTACTGGAATAAACAGGAAATGGTTCCTCCATCTGGTAACCAGAATGAATTCAGAGAGAGTAGCTGGCCATATCTTGTACGAGGCTCCTTCAGATACAATTCACTGAGGCCAAAAAAAAACCTTTTTATTTGGCAATCAAGTAAAATCATTTGTGTTTTGCGAGCTGCAGTTTGTTCTTGGTTCTGATTATTCCCATCTATTATGTGTCAGTTGTGGTTTTTTTTTTTTTTGTGGAAAATATTTTATGACAGCTTTGCTGCACAACTGCAGTCTTACTGCTGAATTTCTCTGGTTCCAAACAGCCCAAGTTAAAACCAGTCCATAAAGAGAACCAAGTTGCCTATTGCTGTTTCCGAGTCCAAATGCCATATATAACTCAATCATTGGCACAGCAAATACCCTGTAGGTGTCCTTGATGTGACAAAACCATCACGTTCTTGCACGATCAGAGTTTTTAAACAGTCAGGGAATCCCAGACCCTTAAATAACCACAGATCAGGAGGCAGATGAGAATCACAAGAGCAACAGACAATAAGCTGCTATGATAAGTTACTCAGCAAGTTTCCCCAGAAGGAGGCAAAGCAGAAAAAGTCTGGATAAAGATAGTCTATCTGGAATTCCAGCTAAAAAAATTACCTGCTGCTTCTCTAACTCTTCTGATGCATTTCAGAACAGCAGGATATCCAAAGTTATACTTTAAATTTCTGCTAAAAAGTTTCCAGCTGTCCCCATACATTTTTTCTACAGTTCTTTTTCTGCTGAGACAGCAGACAGTATCATTTAAAATTTCCCCTTCTCCATTTAAAAAAAATGTGAACGAGTTTACATAACAAAAATTAAAATACGTTTTTCAACAATTTGATTTGTTGAATTTGAGTCTAATTTATTTACCTATACTAGAACACACTGCTGTTAGGCAGTGCAATTTATCAGTATAACTGTGCTAGCTATTATTATTTATAAAAAAGAAGAAGAAAGCTCAGATTCACTAAAGCTGGAGGATTGGGAGATGCAAGACAACAGGTAAAGTATAAGAACTCATATGCTCCAGAGGAAATGGCTTGAAATATCTGCAGAGTTTCACATTGCAAGTGACTTGGATAAAGTCTTGGTCTGTTCCTTAGTTCTCCCACAAAAATTCTAGTAAGGAAGAGAAATAACTATCAATATTGCCAACAAACTCATGCGCATTCATCACAGCTATGCAACCCAAATGGGGCTACTGAGAAATAAGTAGATTATCAGCATGCTGTGGAAATACCAACATTTTCAAAAACAGAGAAAAATAATTAGGAATAAAATCCAAAGGGAGTAACTTCTTTCCCTCCAAAAAATAAAATTAAAAAAATCAACAGCAGAGCATGCATAGGGGCCCCAAAATGCTATTAAAGAGAACAGCTCAAATTAAGGAAGGGGAAATCAAGTGGAGTATCTCCGAAAGACGATATGGCTGGATGGTCTAGAAATACTCTACACTGCAACATGGTGTTGCAGGCACCACTTGTAGTTAGATGGTTGTAAAGCAAGCCTCAAAGTCTTCAGGGGAGCAGAAGAGATAGACAAGTTCCAAGAGTTGGCTTCAGTTGCAACAAGATCTCCTTCTGGTGCTACAGGCTATTGAGGGGCTGAAGACCCAGGCACATTAACCCCATATTCCAATGCTATTCTCTTGGGTGGGCATGGCACATTGTTGTAACTGCAATGTGATTAGGCCATAGGGTTCAAAATCCAAAGCCGATGAAAGAATTTCTCCAAGTACATTCCAAGGGAATTGCCAGAAAGATGCTTCTTGGTGCAGATCGTCACATTACATCTTAAATTCACAATGCGGATGATGCTGGAGGACAGGGCAGGGGATTTTGAAACACCTTCCACAGAGTCATAAGTGCATTTCTTACATGTTTCTATTGATAAACCTGGCATCTTTCTTACCAGAAAAGATGGAGGTAAAATGTAGCTTTTATTTATGATACTGGGTAAAAGCACACACAAAACCATGAGGGACCGGCGGCTCTGAGATTTCCTTTTCCCATCTAGGAAAAAAATTAGAAGAGTTTGCTGTTTCGCCATTTAAAATTGTCTTTGCTGTAGCTGCTGCTGAACTGAAGCAGAAGAAACTCACATCACCTCAATTTCTCTGCAGACCAGGTACAAATATTGTTGAATGGGTTGTACTCAGTTCCCTCTAAAATAAGATTTTTAGAATGGTATTTTAGAATGGAGAAAAGAGACATAAAGACAAAGGATAAGTCCAAGTACTCCATACTGGCCGTTTCTCATACTTGTTTGGATGGTAGCAGGAGCAGTCCCAGCCCTTTAAACTTTATGGGTTTTCTGGTGTCTTACAAGGTGAGAGGCAGCCCCAAACCCTTTCCCACAGCTGGCGCATTTGAAAGGTTTCTCCCCCGAATGCGTAGCACGGTGACGCTCAAGGTGCGCGTAACGGGTGAACCCCTTTCCACAGTCTCTGCACGAGAAGGGTTTGTCCCCACTGTGGATGCCCTGGTGACGCTGGAGATGTGCACTGCGGGTGAAGCACTTGCCGCAGCGCGTGCAGCGGAAAGGCCGCTCCCCGGTGTGAGTTCCTTGATGGCGAGTGACATGAGCGCTGCGGGTAAAAGCTTTGCCACAGACCCCGCATTCGTAGGGGCGCTCTCCGGTGTGGGTGCTGTGGTGGCGGGTCAGGTGGGAATTGCGCCCAAAGGCTTTACCACAGTACGTGCACTTGTACGGTCGCTCCCCTGAGTGGGTCTCCTGATGGCGGGCCAGGTGGGCACTGCGGGCAAAAGTCTTCCCGCAGTAGCTGCAGCTGAAGGGGCGGTCTTCCTCTGGCATCTGCTGTCCCAGGCGCTTCCCACCTAAAGGGCGCTGCAGCCCAGAGTGGATAGCTAAATGCCGTGTAAGGTGTGAGTTGCGCCGGAAACCTTTCCCACAGTAAGGGCAAGTGTGGGACTTTTCCCCCATGGCTGCCAGTCTTCAGAGGGTGGTGGTAGTAGGAAAATTAAGGCCCTGCCTTGACACTGCTCAGGCCTGGCAGGGTTTAAGGAGGCTCCCGTGGCAGCACTCTACCTCAGCGGCTCCCCGGCAAAATACTCCTTCAACTCCCTGAACTAAGTTAGCAGTTACAGTTCTCTGGCTTTTATCTTCTAAGTCTTGATAAATGTCTCTGAGATCTTGGAATATCACTTTGCCCTCAGAACCTGCTGGGGGAAAAAAAAAGAATTTTAATAAAAGAGAGAGAAAACACAAGCTCCTGCCAAAAGGTGAGTAATTAGGGTGGAAAGGAAACAATGTAATATGAATGAATGGAGCTTAAGAATATGTTCTGTGGATATCTTCTCTGTCATTCACATATGCAGAATCCAGCTGTTGTTTTTTAAAATATGTTGTAATGGTGCTATTTGTTCAGAATATTCTCTCTTTGAGGATGGAAGTTCTTTAAAGATTATAAACAATGCTTGGTATTAATATAAATGGTCCCCATCAGTCTCCTGTTTTTATTGAAGACCCTTTGAACGGTGGGAAGGGCCTTATTTTTAAGTAAACCTATAGATGAAGGTGCTATGCTGTTTTCCCTGGATGGAGGGAAAAAGAAAAATGTGCTTATCAACTTTGTTGATTGATGGTAAAAATGTAATTCATAGCAGCAGCTGTTTGCATTAAAATGTCTTCTGAGACCAAATTAGTTCTAAATGAATTTCTTATAATTAAAATGCTGCTTCAAGTGTAGGAAATCAGGAAATCAGTTTCAAAGAAGTTTTGATATTGCCTATAGGATATGTTGCCAGCATGATTCAATCAAAAGTTTAGCAGAGCAATACTATTTTTTACTACATATTGGAGCAAACGTGTGTGTGTGTGTGTGTGTGTGTGTATGTATGTATGTATGTATGTGTATGTGTATGTGTGTG